ATAAGGTGTAACTCTACTCTGCCTTCTTTCTATATTTCTAAGCAGCAGCACAGTCCTCTTTGTAACCACCCTTCAGATAGCAGCCTTTAACTACCTGAATGGTGGTTCCAAAGAGGATGGAGCTGGACAGTTCTCAGCAGTGGCAGATGACAGAGCAAGGAGCAATGGTCTCACATTGCAGCAAGGGAAGTTTAAGTTGGATATTAGGAAAAACTTTCTCACTAGAAAGGTGGTGAACAACTGGAATGGGTTACCTTGAGAAGTGGTGGAATCTCCACCCTTGGAGGGTTTTAAGGCCTGGCTCAACAAAGCCCTGGTTGGGATGATCTAGTTGGGGGTGGTTCTGTTTGAGCAGGGGGTTGGACTAGATGACTTCCTAAGGTCCCCTTCCAACCCTAATTTTCTATGATTCTCTGATAATACAAATCAGTTTGGCTTGAATCTTGTCTGTGGACCCTTAAAGACCCCTGGTAGGGCTTAGTGTCTAGTCATGAGGACTGGTGTGTCACTGTATCATGCCACTGCAATGACAAGTATGCTGAATTGTGAGGATTTAGTCCTAAGGTGTCAGCCTGAACAGAAACAGTTGTCATAGCCAGCATCACAAAATGCTTCATAGAATGGGTTCTTCATAAACTAAATCCCCTGGGAACATATTGAACCCAAACTGAAGACAGGGATGTCAGAGTGGAGATGAAGTGATGAGTTGTGGTTCCATCCCAGCTGAAGTGGTAGCTACTTTTATGTCCTTTCCTTTAACACGTCAGTCTTGAGGACAGATGCTTGCTTTCAGCCTTCAGATGAGTGACTTCCAGGTATCCCTGCTGTGCCTAGAGAGAGGAATAACCCAAAGGTGAACTGAGAGACAGTCAAAGGAAGATTTTCCAGGTAGAACCTGAGCTGTACAGGCTGATGCATGCTTGAGCATGATTTAGTCCCGGAAACTATGGAAAGGCTGCATAGGTCAGGGACAGAACCCATCCCATAGGTCATTTGGTACAGTATAATGAAACTGCTTGGAAATATATTTGTTTTGCATCCTGGGAGAAATTTTTGTTTTCAAATCAAAGGATTTAGTAATGCATAATGTATGAAATGACACAGTTGCACTTTCATTTGGTATGTTTTCAAGTCCTGGCAAAGCAACCTGCTGCTTCTTGTACAGCTAAATTCAATTATGAAATTAGTTTCTATAGCATAAATGATTTGCGCACAGTAACTTTTTTTATACTTGCTAAACATGCACACCTATAGCACTGCAATATATTATCATAATACAGAGATTGCTTTGAATCAAAACTCCCATTCCAAGCACACCTAAATGAGAAAGGAGTTTCTATGTAAATGGGAAGTTTATGGCTTAGGCAGATCTCTACTTTCAGTATCACCCTGTGAATTTTCGTAGCAAGACAGATAGCTGGCATCTACAACCGCTGCAATGTACTAGCTGAGCAGAGGTAGATATGCATAATAAACTGCTAAAGGTTTAGAGATGCAGCAGATCTCTGTAATTTCAAAATGTCAAGGCAGGTCTTTAATTATTGGATGCCGAGGCTTTGTTTGGAGAACATATTCCATTTATTTAACATTCGTCAATTCCCATAAGATTTGGGCAGACTTTTTTTTTTCCCCCAAGATTGTTTAGGGCTAGAAAAATCACCATATAGATGGCCTCTTAATTAGGACTCCAAGTGCCATCACTCCAATACTTTCAAATACAGTTTGCTCCTGTCTACCAATCAAATAACTACTTTTTTTTCTAGACCAGCCCCACAAACTACTGTGTACCTCAAAAACTGAGCTGTGGAATTTATGTTGAGTGTGTGCATCGAATACCACTTAGCATTCACTGTTTCTGGCATTGGAAGTTGAAACTCTGCTAATGATTTTATTAATTATTTTGATCCACAGGCATAGATAATGGCCTGAAAGTCCTGGCTCACATTAAAATATGAAAGCAAAGGGTGGAAGGATCTTAAATAAGGGGATCCCTAGGTTGTAAGAAGATGTTCTCACAAGAAAATTGGAGGATTGTGGGCTTAACTGCAAGACAGTCAGTTGGGTATGAAGCTGGATGCAGGGTAGGACCCAGAGAGTCCTAATGAATGGATCTGTGTCATCCTGGTGAAACGTGGCCAGTGGTGTCCCACGGGGTTGGTGCTTGGTCCAGTACTTTTCAACATCTTTATCAATGATTTGGATGTGGGGGTAAAGAGCTCACTGGCCAAGTTCACAGATGACACCAAGTTATGGGGAAGTGCGGTCATGCTTAATGATAGGCTACAGAAACAGGCAGATCTAGACAGGCTAGCAAGTTGGGCAAGTCAGAACCAGATGAAGCTCAACATTGAGAAATGTATAGTGCTCCATCTGGGGACAAACAACCCCCTGCACACATGCAGCTTTGGTGGCGTCAAACTGACCAGCACCATGAGCAAAACGGACCTGGGAGAAATAACAGACTGCGGTATGAACACGAGCCAGCAGTGTGATGCTATAGCCAGCAGGGCAAACAATACTCTGGCATGCGTCAATAGATGCATCTGCAGCAAAACTAAGGAAGTGATTCTCCAGCTGTACTCAGGAGCCTACAGCTGGAGAACTGTGTCCAGGTCTAGGCGCTGCACTTTAACAAGGACATGGTACAACTTGAAAGTCCAGAGAAGGGCCACCTGTATGATCAGAGACTTGCACGGCAAGCCATACAAGGAAAGGCTGAGGGACCTGGGACTCTTCAGCCTGAAAAATAGAAGGCAGAGAGGGGACTTCGTAACAGCTTACCGCTACATCAGGGGAATACATCAAGGGCTCAGTGAACATCTGTTCACCAGCGTACTCTTGGGGAAAACCAGGAGTAATGGCCACAAACTCCTGGAAGACCATTTCAGGTTCAACTTTAGGAAAAACTTCTTCACAGTCAAGGTGTCCAGACTGTGGAATAACTGATTGCAGCAGAGGTGGTGCAATCGCCTACCCTGGAAATCTTTAAGAGGATAACTGGATCTTGCTGGGGTCACCTGGCCTCGGCTGTCTTTCCTGTCTGGTGCTGGGGGGCTGGACCCAATGATCTTCCGAGGTCCCTTCCAGCTCGACAATCTATGAATCTATAAAATGCAATTCTCAATGCTTGCAAACAGAGGCTGGCAAATTATCCTGAAATGTCCATTCCTAAAACTGAATAGATCCTTTTGGAATCCAGATCGGTGGATCCAGGGTATCCATCATTGTTTGCCTGATTCTGCAGCACTAAGAGCTACTGGGTCTCTTTTACAAGCCTGCTGTTGCCTCCATCCTGTCCTTTTTGCTCAAATTACAGACAAATAAGTGCATGTAGTCCCATAAGAACTTTTTTTCATAAGATCCTTTATGGCCATGACCATCCTTTAAAACTGGACTAGAAGCCTGTATAATAATCAGCAATCTACCTTCAAATGAGAGACCTCAGACAGACTCTTCTGATGGGGTGTCTTGCTTCACAAGCTGGCAGACTGGAAGTGCCCTGAAAATAATTCATTTGACTCTAACAGAGGAAAATCACCCCCACCTCCCTATAAAAAAAAAAAAAAAGCAGGTTTGAAGAGTTTTGCTTCAAATTTTGTAATATTGGCTAGGAATATGACACTACTACCATCTTAAAAGTTCTGTTTGACTGTTTAGGCATTTAGAGCTTGGAGAGGAAATACTGTGATTTTCCAGTTGTGATGCAGTTTTCTTGTGAAGCTCAGCACATTACTAGCAAGTTTTGTCCACTGCCTTCACCTCTCTCTCTCTCTGAGTAAATTATCTCTGTGTAGGTGGCAACTCTACAATCAAGGACAGACTCACACAAACATTACGTGGTGTCAAAATACTAAAAGCCGCAACAAAAACACCATCACATTAGGACACTGCAGCTATATGTGACGGGGGAGAGCTGCCTGCAAAGTTGCAATTGGGCCCAATTAGGTCCAATGGATTTTTCAGTGTGTGGGGTGGGGGGAGAGAAGGGGAGTGAAAAAAGCAGGGAGGTGAAGGGGTCATTTCTAAATGTGTCTCACAGTGCTGCCGCTTGGTACAATTCAGAGATCCAGGTGTTTCCTATTTCTTTCTCTATGGGCCGAATAGTAGCTAAGTGCCTTCTATCAATCTTTCTCTTCTGGAGAGGGGCTGCTTTGCTTGCATGTACGTCCCTGAAGGTTGTGTCATTATGTGGATGGGAAGGAACGGGGATCATGGACCATATCGTGCTTCTCTGATCTGCTCCTGGCAGGGTCTGAGCCCAGGTGGTCACGGCTGATGGGAACCACGTCATCCTCACACGGAGCATGCTGGGTGCTGCCATCAATGCCCAGCACGCAGGGGGCCTTGTCCACCAGGCCCCCACCCCTGAGCAGCGTTACAGCCTAGCCCTGGATCCCTGCTAGGGCTCGGCCCCACAGGCCAGACCCCCTGCCTCACTCAGCATCCTGGGCTGGTCACTGCCACACTTGGCCAGCCCTAGAGTACCCACCCGCCAGGCCCAGATGTTGCTTCAGGGGCTGCCCCACCTCCCAGCCCGTGTGTCTCACGGGCTGGCAGTGCTAGGGCAACAGCGTTGCTAGGTCTTAAATATGAAATTATCCTATTGGAAGCTCAAAATTATCATATTTGCTGAAAACCTATCAAAAATGCAAATAAGTATGCAAATACACCTTATTTACTTTATATTGCTCACTGTAGCCAGTGAGTGAGAACTGGATCAAAGTTAAAACATTTCTTTATTTTGAAGCGCTGTCAGAAGACATTTGCTGCCGAAGAAAGCAGGGACGACGCGTGGGGGGGGGGGTTAACGCAGCTGCACGGGCAGCCCCTACAGACACACCCGCCGGTCTGCTGGCGGCCTGTGCATCACGCTGGCGAAGCTCCGCCCTGCTCCTCCCCGGGGGCGGAGCCACGCCTCGCTACACAACATGGCGGCGCCTCGGTAGCGATGGCACCCAGCCCACGTGACCGGGGCAGCGTCACGTGATCCAAGGGGTGGTCATGTGACCCCCCTGAGCCGGCAGCTTTCGGGGCGCGCGCGGGGTTCCCGCTGGGACGCTGTTGCCATGGGAACGCGGCCTGCCTGCTTGCCCGCGTTGCTGCTGCTACTGCTCCTGCCCGCGCCGGGTACGGGAGGGGGGGTGCCCGTGTGAACGCCACCCAGGCTTAATTCGGATTAAGCTGCGAGCAAAGCAGCTCCCTAACGCACCTTGCCTCTTCCAGCCCACAGCACCCGCGACCCCGGCTTTCAGGAGCGGTACTTCGAGCAGGTCTTGGATCACTTCAACTTCCAGACCTACTACAACAGGACCTTCTTCCAGCGATACCTTGCCGCAGGTAGGGGTTTTGCCTGCGGGCCTGAGGCAGGTGCAGAGCCTGGCGATGTTTTTGCGGCAGTACCACTGTCATGGGGTCATCTCCATGGCACGTTGCAGCTATGGCACAGTTGACTGGTCCCTCACGGTACAAATGTCAGCCGGCCACACATGCAGAAGAAGGGGCATGCGCTGCGCTGGGTAGCTGCTCAATAAATGGCACCCGGCATGCAAAGGAGTCCAAATGAGGAATGGAAAAAGCGCCCTTGCTTGTTCCTCGAGTCTGAGTTTCAAATGTCTTGAGGGATGGGGCTTCTATTCCAGCTTTGCCTGCCCTGCAAGGTTCTTCTGCAGCCTCAGACAGGGTGCTCAAGCTTTTGGCCCCATGAGCCACATGAGTGGGCCGAGGCTGGTGCACAGGACAGATCAGGGCCTGACATTGCCACTGCTCCTCTGCCACCCAGTTTCCAGGCTCATGGGAAGTTCCACAGGCTGGATGATATGGTACCCAGGGCCAGATTGGGACTGATGGGTTAGGGTTTGAGCATCCATGGTCTACTATGTCTCACTGTTATGTTTTTCTGTGTTTTGAAACTAACTTTCAAGCCCTTATCCTCCTGCATTAACATAATTCCTCTCAATGTGTCCACCCATCAAATACTTAAAAACAGGATAAGCACTTCCCTTTTCTGATTCAAAAATCAACCCATTTGGGTTTAGCTTTTCTAATCTGTCCTCACAAATCAGTTCTTGCCCCTTAATCATGTACACTGCTCTTCTCCAGGTTTCATCCCAGTTGATCTTCCTGGTAATGAGGTGCTCAGAGCTAAATCCCTGGTGATGGCAGACTGAAGAGGGGGAGCAAGAATGACCACCTAGATAAGACTCACCATGGGACTTTTGTTGCTGTGTTGTTATTTTTGTCCAACTTCTACATAAGCTCTTACTGGTATAGCTTGATGCTTTAAATACAACAGAGAAAACAAATGGCCGCTCAAATATTAAACAATATAGATGTGTCCTGGAAGGTTAGCCAATTCAGAGTCTGGAAGGTTAAGGGGTATAAGTTCCAAAAGTAGTCAAGTAGGGGGGGTTTTTGCTTTATTTTTAACCAAAAGCTCTTTTGCCAAACACAAAGAGGTAAAGTGAGTCCTATATAAACCAGGAGAAAGTCTGTTGGAGTGAATGGAGTTGCACCATATTCCAGTCCAGCATATACAGGCTTTGCTCACTTCCAGACAACATGAATAGCTGAGATGGGGTAAACCTAGTAACTTTTTTGTGTACAGTTCTTTAAAGTCTTAAATGTTTTGGACTGCACTGGACTGCACATAGAAAGAACCAGTGAAAAGTCAATAAAGGTGTCATTTGTTATGTCCTGAAAAACTAGATAGCAAGTCATCTTGTGTGTTGCAATACATCCTTCTGAAACAGATGTTTTTCAAGCATTGAGTTGATAAATAGAGATACTGTAATAATTGTATCAAACACTGTTTTGAATTTTAACTTGGAATGGGTTTTTCAATGGGAAAAAATTCTGTTAAACAATGGAAAGAACAAAGATCTTTTGGGAAATAGTTGGGGAAAAAGGTTAGAGACCCTGATTTTAGGCAGGGAGGAAGAGATGAAGTTGAGTTTAAGCCACCAATAGCCTCAGTTGATTATCTTATTTTCTTAGGGGCTGAAGGAAAAAAAACATCCTTAGCCTCTGCTTTTTTCTTCTCCTCCCTCCCTTGGAAGTGACTGCAGCAGCAGGCACCAACACCCCATGCATTCATTCAGTTATGTATGAGTATATTACATGTGCACACAAGTTTTATATATATAATTTATGCCAGGGAATGGAAAGCTGACTTTAACTGTGTTCCACCAGTCTTTGGATTCTAGTGCCGTGTCTAGCCAAGCTCTAAAGTACAGCTGAATAATCATTGTAAGGTAAATGGAATAGGCATTATGGTTTTGTTGCTTTGCGAATAGTTTGTCTTGCTGGTAAGAGTGACTCATGGTAGCAAAACATCTGTGGGAGTGCTGAGGGTTATTTTGTTCCCCTTTCTTCTATGCAGTGTGGGTCTTGTCCGATTTATCAGTCAGGATTTGGAAGAAAGTCGCTTGCCGGGAACTGCCTTTACTTTAGTCTCTCTCGCAGCTAAATCAGCTCATTCTCTCCATAATGAGATTAGTTGAAAGTTGTTCAAAGCTTGAACTTAAAAATAAGAACAACTTGTATCTACTCTCATAACCAATTTTTGTGGCTCTTCAAAGAACCTTGAATCATACTGGTAATCTTACTAGTGTGTTATGTTTTATTGTGGTTCCCCTTAGCAGTACCTTCCTTTTCTGATCTTTCTCTGTTGATTGCTACCCTGCCCGGCCTTCTCTCAAATATGTCATGTAAAGAGAAAATTCCCCATTGCAAATAAATCCAACTCCCATTCCCGGAGTTAGTTATTTTGTAACTGTTTCTAATGTATTTAATTGTTTTGGCAAGTTTAAGGATTTGTTGGGATGTAAAGTTTTAGTCATGTTTAAGTTAAAATGCTAACCAATTGCCAGCTGAAAGTTGAAGTCTAGACATATCCTAACAATTTGACAGAAAGCAGGAAGGAGAGGGACAATCAGCATATGGCCCCTTTCCATATTGTTCTTCCATAAACATCAATGAAATCAACAGGCCCTAAAGATACTCAGCAATACATGTGCAGCTCTTGGCACCATACAGCTTCCTGCCCTCCTACACTAAACCTGCTTTCAACTGTAGGTATATATAGACATTTGATCTGCTATGGTCTTCATAATACCAGGCTCAATTTCATATCACAGTAGGAAGGAAGGATCAGATACATACATGGAGACATCAAGCAGCTTTTCTCCACTTCCCCCTACTCATCCATGGTAGGGGAATAAAGATGTGCTTATAAATGATTAGGGTTCCTATGGGCTGAAATGTACTTTGTAAATTCACATTTATTTCTATTGGGGGAAACAACTTCCAAATGCCCTATAGTATTCTGCAATTCTGGGAATTTTGAGGTATGGCTGGGAAACAGTAGTCCATATGCTGCCCTCAGTAGAACCCATTTATCACAGTTAACAACTTAGAACAGGGGAGATGGTCCCTAAATCTAAACTACCTGTATTCCTCAGTATTGTGTCCCTATGAGTTAAACCTCCTTTCAGTGCCCCATCCAGCTCTCTCCTATAGTCTTTGCTTCTACAGAATTCCTGATCAGCTTCACTGAGGGCAGAACCTTTAGGTCCTTTAACTGGTGCATTTTTACTTGCTTTAACATGTTCCTCATGGCAACCTCAAACAGAGAAATTCTGGAACAAGGAAGTTGGGCCGATGTTCTTTTATACTGGGAATGAGGGAGACGTCTGGGAATTTGCTCAGAATTCTGGGTTCATCCTTGAGCTGGCAGAACAGCAGCATGCACTGGTGATCTTTGCAGAGCATGTAAGTAGTTTATTAAACTTGTTCATAACAGATTTCCTCCCTACGAGGCATTATCAGCTTCAGCCTCCAGTAGTCCCAGGACAAATAAATGAAAATCTCACACCCTGAAGTTGATGTGCAGCTGCTCTAGAGTCTACATATTGTAGTAGATCTTCCCTGTAGAACTACATAATTATTTATTATGCCCATCCACAGCACTGTAAGAATAATAATTTGTTCACTATAACCTTGGCTGCATTTTCTTGGGCTGTAGCAAGCATTTTTCCCCAGTTCTGAGCATGCAGTAAGTTCAGAGCAGAAGAATGATTGTGCAAGGCTCGTATTATTGTGCATTAACCTGCCATATGCAGAGGGAAATTCTATTCTGGTTCACTACCTTAATAAGCCCTCTATAGCCTGCAAGTAGCCTCCTGTCTATAGGATGAAGGGAGGGTAGGATGTACATTGCCTATTCAGTCCCTGGGTGTTTCAGTTGTTGGCCTCCCTGCTAAGATGGTCAACAAGGGGTCCAGTGAGAACATGCCCTGTGACTACTCATCTGTTAAGGACCAAAACTGCTTTCACAATTGATGTAGGCCATCAGATAGCTCCTTCCAGCCCATTCAGGCTCAAATGTGGTGGCTCATAAGGGGAGGTGGTATTTGAGGTTGCATAGTCAGTGTTATCTAATCTTTGTACTTCTTGCCTCAGAGATATTATGGGAAGTCTCTTCCGTTTGGGATCCCATCAACAATGCAGAAGAATATTGGCCTCCTCACTGTGGAACAAGCCTTGGCTGACTATGCGGTGCTTATTACGGAGCTGAAAGCTCAGTACAATGCCAGGGACTGCCCAGTCATTGTTTTTGGAGGCAGGTAAATGCTCTTTAAAAATCGGTCTCTCAAGTTTTGTTTCCTAGCCATATACCACAGGCTTTCCATGATTTCTCGGGCTGTCTCCAAAGTTAACGTTTTTTCTATTGAAGCAGGATGGCTACCTGCAGCAAGTGCATGACTGAAATACTACACCTGCCCTCTGCCTTCTCTTGTTTCACCAATATGGCTACCTGGTATTTGCTCTCTATTTAAAATACCTGCTGTCTGTGCAAGCCTTGAAAACTTAATATAGAAGCCTTTGGTCCTATGCAAAGAAACAAGGTTATGCATTCTAAACCATGCTGAGCAGTCTGTTCCAGCTGTCTTCCCTACCAAGGGAAGTTAAGATAAGGAGATCAGAAATTCCCTTCAAAAATCAGACATAATGCATCTGCATTAAGGCAGAGAAGAGGGTACTCAGTTATTGGGGGCTGCCATTCCAAAAGCAGACTTGCCCAAGCCAATTATGGCTCCTGCTTAATTTAAAGAGAGGCACCAGGAATTGGAAAAAAAAAAAAAAATCCAGGTAGTTTCAATTGCTGAGTTATAAATCATGTCAAGCTTTGTGCTTGACACAGTTGCATTTTGCGATAGAGGGATACCTTATGGTCCTGCTACAGTCCAAATCTGGGAAGCCCCAGTGCCCTCTGGTGGCTATCCTGCTCCCACTCCAGCTCCTTAGTGTACCCCTTTGCTAGTCACACCTGCAGCACCTTGATGTCACTGTTATAGCACATTGGGAGGCTGCCTGGAGGCTTGGAGCAGTTGTGCTGCCTGTAGTCCAACTTCAGTTATTTATCCAGACCCTTGGTCCTCCTCATCACCAGACCCTCAGTCTGGTAACAAACTATTCCACTGTGTTAGCATTACTCATGACCAATCACACTAGGCTTGCCCTTAGTGCATTAGTCATGGTTCTAATCACTTTAGAAGCATTAATCATAGTCTCCACCATAGCTACAGACATGCTGCACAGGTCTGAAAACAGCACAAGCCCAGTCCATAAGATGGTCAGTTGTATTTAGAGTGTCTTTCTTCAGTCTTCTCCCCTAGCTCATACTCAGTCATACTGGCTTCTCTGAGTTTGGGCCCTCTTGGACCTACTCACAAGCCTCTTAGTCTCCAGTATTGCTTCTCTGCTCAGCGCAGAGAGTTTCTTCAGCAAAGATAGCCTAGGCTAGTCCCCAGCGCTGCTTTTAGCCACTCCTAGCAAGAAAATACCTATCTCTGTCTCTGCCCTAAGAGGATGACACTACTAGACCTGGAGCCAGGCTTATATAGTGCATGACTCCTCCTCTTCCTTCTGGTCACCTGACCCCTTCTCTCACAACAGGGCCCAAGTGACACTAATCCTGTATCCTGCAGGCTTAATCAAGCAATCTGCCTTGCAGACCTCTCTGCAGGCTGTGTTTTGCCCTTTCCTGCAGCCATTACTTAATTAGCTTCCTGGCCCCACTCAGTAACAGGCTGGGGTCCCTGTTACACTGACACCAAAACAAAACATTACCTACTAGAAAGGCAGGAAAGTGGTAACAGACTGAAGGGCTTTAGATTTAGTAAGCATCCAATTCCCATCCAGACCATGCCCGTGATTATTGGAAAGTTTTTACCACTGTCTCTCCTTTCAGTAACACATGCAAAAGGAACCATTGATCTCAGTTGTGTTGGCAATACAGGGAACACAACAGCAGTTGACAGGCTTAGGGGAGAAGCCAGGATCTGAACTTATCATAGGGTCTGAATGTCCCACTCAGCCATGGAGGGGTCTGGAAAGACAGCATTTAGGCTATATGGGGAAAACTTGAGCTGCTGCGTTTTTGTGGGTAAAGTGAATCCCTGTTTTGAGGGACTTCAGCCCTACATTAACTTCAGATGAAAGCTGTTGCAATATGGCAGGTGGGCATATGGTTATAATTAAGGTTGCCCAATGCCTCCTCATTTCTACTTGCTTACCACTGAAATTTGCCGTGTCAAATACTTTCTGCAGGCTGATTTAGTTTTAGCCAATATAGCTCCCCTCTGATTAAGAGAAAACGATATTGTTTTGCCCATGTTGGGGAGGGACAGGGAAACTTATAGCTTTGGAGCAGGAGGTGACATTGAGCAGAGATGATCCTTTGTCTTTGTTTTCTGCCCCTCTAACGCATACCCAGATTTGGCCAAGGTAAGCCTCTGAATATGTGCACCCAGAATAACTGACTGAATAACTTGCTTGGCCTCAGGCTTATGTGACAGTTCCTGTTGTATCCACAAAGCAGTGATGCCTGAAACAAAGGAGATGGACTGATTCACTGGACTTGGAAAAAAAAAGCCACCCTATCAACTTAGCCACCTTGCTACTAATCATCTTCCTTGCTGCCATACGGGTTCATTGGGAGGTCATTTCCTACTTCCCAGCACTAGAGAGGCTACCCATTCCTAAATGCTCCTGGACATCTTTTGCTGAGAACCTCTCTTGATAATCTTTTTAAAAACCCTTCCTGCAATTCCTTCCCCAACCCTATACAATGCAGTTTTGGCATGACCTCCACTTGTGCTTTGCATTAAAGTTATCAGAATGTCCTTGAGTTTGTGCAGAACTGACCTTAATGTTTTTGGCCATGATTTGCTTCTGTAATCAAATCCCAGTGATTATAGTCCACAATATTCCCATCATTATGCCTAGAGCTGCCCTTAAGGTCTGGGGAAAGGTCAGCAGGGAGATATTGTTGGATGCACTACAAACATAACTGACTGGTTTTGCTTGTGTGTATGTGTGTGTGTGATTTTTAGCAGCCCATCTATCCAAGTGGCTTTATACAGAGACCAGCTGCTTGTCTCCACTAATTGGTTTATATTTGTTTTAATACTCTGTACAAAGGAAGGACAGGAGTTTGTGTGGGAGAGGAGACTCATTTAGATTTTCAGTTGCCCTGGGTTGGATGAGCTTACCACCCCTGGCTCCTTCAGGCCTTTGTTACTGAACAGGCTAGCATTGTGTCATGTCCGCTGAGTGAAGTAATCTTCTCTCTCTTTTTTTCCCAGTTACGGAGGCATGTTGAGCGCTTACATGAGAATGAAATATCCCAATGTTGTGGCTGGAGCATTAGCAGCCAGCGCGCCTTTGTTGTCTGTGGCTGGGCTTGGAGACCCCACCCAGTTCTTTAAAGACGTCACTGCAGTAAGTGGAAGTGGTGCATAATGGACAGTTTTGTTTCTAAGTGGCCAGGCTAGGTAAGGTGTCTTGCTACTGATCTGAAGTCATGAGTTTGAGCCTTTCTCTAGACTTGCATCAAAGGCTGTCCCCACTTGACTCTGCTGTAAATGGGTACCTGGCCACTTGGGCTGGGGAGTTGAAGGCATCTGGACATGGTGCTAGTAACATCACTCTTTTGTGTGTAGTGGCTACAGAAATTGGCATTCCCTAGCCACTGTAATCTAATGTGTCATCTAGGCTCATGTTAGGTGAAGGAAAGACCCAGTTGAAACAGAGGAGGACTCTTGTGTCTATTTAGAGAGTGGTAAGAGACTCTGGAAGTCACAATTAATGCCAGAGACTTTAAATTGTCACGTAGTAGTGTCTCTCAGGACTGCAGTTTAGGGCTGGTGTGACCTGCCTGCTGATGATTGTGTCAGTGCTTTGCTGCTGAAAGGTCCCAGACTGCTGGCTTTGGAAGCTGAAGTCCTCAGTGTATCCATAGAGTGCTACTTACTCCTCTACAAGGGAAGCTGGATTTGGGCCACCATGTTCAACCATGATTCTTTAGCTTGTAACTACAGCACCTGTGATTCCATGGGGTCCCCTATACCAAAATGAGCCAGGCCCAGAACTGCTTAGGTGCACCCAGTACAGCACAGCTGCCCCTTAGTCTTGAATTAACTTCCTGTTAGTTCAGCCCTGAGAATTCTTCCACATAACATTAAATCCTTCCTGAAAGTTGGACATAGCTTTTTGCTGTCCCTCCTGAGCTTGTTATTAAGAATGCCATAAATCATTGCACATACCTGAGGAGAATCCTGTATAGCTTTTAAAAATAAAAACTCCTTCCCATTCACTTCTAACCTGGGTTAATCTGTAGTAGTATTGGAGGCCATTTGGATGCTTAGATTCTAAGTGGCTCGTTGCTTGTGGTTTGAAAAATGTTTCCCTTCCCCATGGTCGTGTTTTCATAACCGCATTGTATTGATTTGAAGTAGAGTGGCCATCATAGAGGATAGTTTGGCCATCCTCTGTCCTCTATTGATATGAAACCAGATGCCTTTATGTCCTCTATTTCTCTCAAGAGAAAAATAGAGGACATAAAGGCATCTGGTTTCGTATCAATAGAGGACAGAGTAGCAGAAAACTGTAATGTCCCTTATGATAGCCACCCTAATCTGAAGAGAGGCAATTCAGCATTCAATTGCTGTCCTTGGGGAGGGAACACACCTGAGGGTTGTTAATATTCACAAAGACAAACCTTTCATAGAACATTTGCAGGCATCCATCTCTTCATCTTGCACCCATGCATCTGGCATGTGCCAAGCGTGTAGGTGTAATAAGGATGGTATTAAATGGCTTGTCTAAGGTTAGGAGGGAAGTAGCATACATGGGAGTAGTAACTAGTGCCTGGATTCTGGTATAAGTTAATGCTGAGTCTTCACTAGAAAAGCCTGTTAGTAAACATGTTTTCTTTTAGGGTATACATGGCCTGTAGCTAATTTACACTGGTCTGGGAAAATAAAAAGAAATGAACATTGTCAGTAATAACAACACCCAGCTGTTATAAAGCATAGTTCATTAGCAGGTCTCAAAGCACATGACAGAGAAAGGTGGTATTCCACCCACACATTTTACAAATGATAAAGGGAAACTGAAGCAAAGGGAAGGGAAGTGATTTGTCACAAGTCACCATTCGGGTCAGGGACAGAGCAAAAGGAGTGGAACCTGCTCTGAGTTCCAGTACAGTGCTCTATCCAGTATGGTGCCTCTCAAAATGCAGGGTTTGCTCAGCTTAAAGCTCCTGATGACTGTGAGAATGCTGTCTAGTGGCTTCAGTGTAAACAAGAATTGAAGCCTCATTATGCTCTCCTGACTACTAAATTTAACACTGATAAGAGAAACTACTGCATATCACACTTACTAGCAGAGACTCATCATAAATTGTAGCATTGGAAGGGACCTCATGTGGTCCAACTTCCAACACAGGTCCAGGATTTGCTGTTCCTCAACAAACCCAGACCATTGCCGCTCTAGCCACTTGCTGAAAAACTCCATGAAACGGGTTCCACAGCTTGTCCGGACAATTTGTGCCTTTGTCCGTGTCTTATGTGGCAATGGATGACGAGGAACAAGTTGCAGTCAGTTATGTTGAGCAGGATGCTTCTCCTCCTTGGGGTGGGACTGGGGCATGACATGGAGGAGAGAGCAGAGATGGTATCAGTATGAGAACATGCATATGGCTCTTGCCCAAATGGCTTGCTGCCTGCTAGCCCTATTTGTGCCCCTTGGTGTTTTCTGCTGTCTGTTGCTGTTCTCCTCTGATATAGGCCCCATGGCTCATACCTGTGTGTTTGTGTGGATACGAACATGTGTCACCTTGGCTTGGCTCTTTTCATCTCTCTCTTTTGCCTCACTTTAGGATTTCAGGAAGTCCAGTTTGGATTGTGTCAAAGCTGTGCGTGAAGCTTTCCAGCAAATCAACAACCTGTACTTGAGTGAAGGTAAGATAAGTCTGGCCCTCCACAGCCTCATGCTTCCAGAGATCTGGCAGGAGGTGCTCTCCAAAGCCCTGTCTGCAGGAGAAAGTTGCCTCAGCCTAACCTCAATCAGCTTTTAAACCAATTTAGTTGAACCAATGAAAAACCCTGTGTGAACTCAGCTTTCAACTTAGGAGTTGCACCAGTTTCACTAACCCCGTTCAAACCTCACCTTAAACTAGACTAATGAAAGTCCCTACTAGAGACAAGGCCTCAGGTGGGTTTTTTTAATACCATGAAGGCATGATGCACAGGGAGTTAGGCATCATGCATTGTATTTGGGCTGGTAGTGATAAGATCAGCTTGTGTTTGATGGTCTAATGCCACCCCCTGGTGGAACACTGACTGAGCATTATTTTTCTCACTCGCTGCCTTAGCCCCTCCTTGAGTTTTTGTTTTGGATTCCAGCTCCTTGCCTCTAATCAAATGAGAGCCTGTACCAGAACCTTAAAGGCAGCCATTGCTGCTTAATCAGAAAAGGCATGATGAGTGGTGTAATATTCTGCATCCCTGATCTCAGCCACCCTGAGAAGCCTGCACTGAGGGTCCTCTTCCAGCTAGGGTCATCTGACTCCAGTGTGTGGGCTTTAAGGTGCATCTGCAGCCAGAAAAGTGCCTGTGCTGCAGTGACTTTCACAGCAAACAGGCCCCCCTCCCAAGTGTAAATCCACCTCTGTTTTCTCCCCTAAATGCTATTTGATTAATTAAACTGGGGCCTGATAATCGAGCTTGGATTTTCCTACCTCCATCTGTCCTGGAGTCTGCAGTGATAACTTAACTGATGCAGTAGTAAGATGCTCTCTCCTGGCTCTGCAGAGCTAAGGGGGGTGACAGGCACTTTGTGAGCAAATTAAGGAGCCAAAACTGCAGGGTATCAGCAACCTTCATTAGCCTCACATGGGACTTACTAGCACCTGCTGGGGAGAGGCTGGAGGAGTACAGAGAAGATGTTTGCAAATAACTTGACTCTTGCTAGGCCAGTGCTTTGGTTCTTGTTCTTCTTAGGCTGTTTTCTCTCTGTTTTGGAAATTTTATACAACTCAGCTAAATAGGAGCCTGTGCATTGGGTTTGCACCTGCAGTGTTGTTACACTGCATCTGGACACTCAGGTTTGAGTAAGTTAATACATAACATATCTTTCCCATTAGAAAATGTAAGTCTTATGTTTAGAGCCTCATGTTACTCCTGGCTAGCCAAGCATGGAGGCATGAATAAAACGTGGCTCTGCTCCACCAGATCAGCTTGCACTCTTGTGAGGCATGCGTATCCATTTTCTCTGCCTCTGCAGCCTATGATAAAATCAGCAGTGAAATGTCCACCTGCAAGAAAGTTTCGAACAAGAATGATGTCTACCAGCTATTTGAGTTTGCTAGAAATGCTTTCACTGTGATGGCAATGATGGACTATCCGTACAAAACAGACTTCATGGGCCACTTCCCTGCTAACCCAGTGAAGGTGAGCACCAGTTGAGAAAATGAGAGTTGGGTGCTTTGGGTGATTTTCTTTTGCTCTTCCACTTAACCTTCTTTAAACCCATTGCTCTGGGATGGGTGGTGGTAGCCAGACTTTGTTTTCACTGAAGTCACAGAGACATTGGGTTAAACTAGTCATACTCAAACTGTGTCACCTGTGGCTGTTGGTAGAAATTACCAAATTTTGGTTTTTGGGTGGTTGATTTTTTTTTTTTTTTGGGGGGTTTTTTTTTTTTTTTTGGGGGGTTTTTTTTTTTTTTTTGGGGGGTTTTTTTTTTTTTTTTGGGGGGTTTTTTTTTTTTTTTTGGTGGGTTTTTTTTTAACTGCACTTCTGTCCTGCAACTGTGACCAGCGCAATATGTGAAACTACAATAATGCACCATGTTAACTGCAGACTGGAGGGGGAGTTTTTGAACTAGAGAGGGTTTGTCACAATTCCCCTTCAGGTGTCTTTGTTGTGGATTTTGGTAAGCACTGGCTGTTCATGTAGTACCTGTGCCATTTAAGAATGCATGTTACTGATTTGAACTTTAAATGCTGTTGGGTGCCTAATCCAAAGGACCTTAAAGAGGCCTTGTTTCTAGAGGGCTAGTGCTGAGTGTTTTGCCACGATCAGTTCCTTCCGGCAGTATCCCAGGTTGGATCCTCAGTCACTAGTTGCTCCTAAATAGTCTTCCTATTCCAGGCTGGCAATGTAGATTCTTCTCTTCAGACCTCACTTGGCCAAACTCCTCTAAACATGGGCTTATAAGGGCCTTTGATTATTTTCCCCCATGTTAGTCCCAGGGGTCTAATGGATAAGGTGCTGGTCTCCTTAGCAAGGGAATATGGGTGTGAATCTCAACTGGGTGGAGTAAAGTTTGTACAATTTGAGGGGCAGTGTGGTCTAGAAAATAGAGCACTAGCCCGAGGTTCAGAAGTCCAGGGTTCTGTGGCTGTCTCCACCACTGATTTTTCTGAGACACTGGGTAGGTCACATCTTCCTGGGCCTCAGTCTCTCTGTCTGTAAAATGGAGGTTGATGTAAATTGATGTCCTTAGTAAAGCATCTGTTGATCCTAGACAGGATGTGGCCTCTTACCTCAGTTGCTCCAGATGAACTTCTTCTTTTCTGGTCAGTCCCTCCAACATTCTTTTTAACTGGAGATGGAAACTCTTCATTAATCCTTTGCAAAGCAGCCAAACATAAATAAAAATGCTTAAGTAATGGCCTTTTCTTGGTTACCTTTTCTTAGAAGCTTCCATCATCACTGAGTTCCTCAGCTTAACTTCTCATCACTTGTCATTTAAAACCCCTGCCCGGATGTTGACTAGCATGTGCATGTGTGTTTTCATTCAGGTTGGCTGTGACCAGATCCTCGCACATCAGGACCCTATTAGAGGTTTGGCTGCTCTTGTTGGTGAGTTAGCTTCATCACTTTAATTTTTTTTTAATTCAAAACCCTTTTGAAGGCATTTTATCCCATATTATTTCATGAGTTTGAGTCTGAACAGCTAATGAGAACCCAGAGTTCCCATTTGAGTGCTGGGTTCATCAATGGCACGTTCCATATGAAGACCTTGATCCTTTACACACCAAAATTGTGCTGCTCTATCCTTAAACTCACATTCAGGCTAGATGATCATAAGTATCCATTTTGGCCATAATCTATGGAACTTTGTGTTAGTAATGGTGTCATCAGTGGGGGGCGTCCATCTTATCTGCCTAAAATGATTCATGAGATGCTTGCAAAATTTACTTTGTTCTTTTACAATCCCAAATAAAAAAAACCCACTCAAAGTGTTTATAAAATAATCTTGGCTCCCTTTTTGTTAAAATGATCTGTTGTTTTAGAAAAGAATCAGGTTTAGATGTGTCAGTAGTTTTTTATTTTTAAAAGAAGCCTGGGGTTCAGACTGGTGCACTGGGAGTGGGGGACTGATTCCCTTCCCTGCTTGTTCTGCTCTCTCTGCCACTCTGGCAGTGCACAGGGACATATTGAGGTTAATCCAAGAAGGCACTGCTCCTAAATTCCAGGTTATGGTATTTTGCCAGAGAATGGAGCAGAACTGTTACAATACTGAGTGGGTTTCCATGGAGCAGCTACCTTGCGCATCCACTTCCTGCTCCCATTAAGACACTGATTGGGGCTCTTGTTTGTTAGTGATGAACAAGTTGAGAGTGGATTTCTTCCTCCCGCTGCTGAGTGAGCACTCTTCTCCTCTCTCCTGCTGGTTGGCTATAGTCTCATGTGACAGTGTAATCATGCAGGAAGCATGGTCAACCAAAGGGTTAGGCAGAGAGCCAGCTTTCTTCCAGATCCTTCCCTCAGGATCATACACAAAAATGCCATCCTCTTTACTCATGTGTCGCAACGATCCTCCCCCTGTGATATAGAGTCTAGACTGGTGTACAGTGATGCTGAACTGGCAGCAGTCGAAACGTGAGAGAGTTAGCGTGGTCCACTGGTCGGTGCCTGGACAGTAACACTCAGTCTCATTGACATGAATCCATTCCTCTGCCTGCAAAGAATCAGATCAGCATTGACTCACCATGTGGCAATCTGGAGGGGTGTCGCTATCATGATTGCCTATTTCAGATCACAGGGACTGGAGAGACTGGTGACTTGCATGCCTAAAGGCAAACTTGATATACAAACTGTCTGCTAGGGGGCTTAGGGTGTTTGCAGTTAAAATTCAGCAAAGCATGAGACTAAATGGTAGACAACCCCAAAGAGACCTCAGCAAACTGCTCTGCAATGCATTCATTCCTCTCTTGAAAGTAGAGAGGGATGGGCTGAAGCAGATGCTGCAGTGAAAAATGAAGTGCTCTGAAAGGAGCTGAAACTGCCCAAGCTCTGTCTGTCCTCTTTAGACTTAATGCATCATAGAGGAGCACTTAAAAAGATAGCCGCCAAGACTGGACTTTGAGGCCATTTTGTCCCCAGATTATCTACAGTAAAGGCTTCAAAGACAGATTTTGAACATTTGGTGTATGTTTTGCATCTAGCCATTTCACTCTTAGGTATTTAAGTTACGTAGGGAAGCTCCACTGGAGGCACAAAACTGGTAGGGTACAGTTAAGCGAAGTACCCAAAAGCCATGTTAAAATACAGTACACCACTAACTACCCATGATCCTCCAATCTGATCCTGATACCAGCAATAATACAGGCCATGTGTATCTCAGTGAACTTGCCAAATAGCAATAGAGTCTGAAGCAGAGTGGCTGGAGTCCCCAGGGCCTGTTAGTGCAGTATTGTACCTGTCTTGATTCAGGTATGTTCTTTATAAACTGAATTCTCTCTCCTCCTTGGGAAATCACCACATTTAAAGGCTCTGGATACACCCAAAGAATCCCTTTAGAAGGAATGCTAAGGGGTGAAATTGTGCTCTAAACCCAAAAGAAGTCTTTATCTGGGCTTAGCCTCTGAAAGGAGTAAAACTGAATGAGCTTATAGAACCTGACTTACTGGGTGCATCTACATGTTCATGAATGCACCGTAGTTTCTGCACATTAAGTTTAAGTTTAGTATTTGGATAACCAAGTACTAAATCAATGCACAGTAACTGGTGCTACTGCACAGTAGCACCAGTTAATAGGTTTTTACAGACACTAACTGCACAGTAGCCTAATACTACTACAGAGTAATGTATTAGCATGAGTTTTGCCCAGCACACAACTGTGCAGTCAGCATCTTGTGTAGATGCATCTACTGAATAGCACTTAATCTATTTTAGGTGCTTATCTAGCCCTTGTTTTTCTTGCCTCTGAGTATCTCACAGTCTGTAGTGTATGCATTTTCACACTTCCTTCTGGGAGCAGGCTTGTGTGAATAGCTTCATCTTAAAGGTGAGACTGGAAGCACAGAGAGACCAAATCTCAAGGTCACACCAGAGACCAGTGGTAGAGCAGGGACTTGAACACAGATCTGGCAAATCCTAGCCTCATGCTCTCACCATTGCGCCATCCTTTCCATCTCAGTACTGCTTGCTTTCTTCAGGTCTCCCATTGGAGAAGGAAGATCAGGCAGTCAGCTTTACTTTTTGATTCTTCTGCAGGATGTGCAAGTTAAGGAATGTTTGTTTGGTTTTTAAACAATTTCCATTAATGTTTTAAACAATGGGAGTAACTAGAATCTGATTACTAACACAGCAGCAGCTAATGAAAACAATTCTGTTGACCTTGGCCTATGTAGAAACTGGCTGGCTTGATTCAACGCCTTGTCATTCTACTCTAAGACTAAAATCCATTGAAATCAATGAAGTTATTCTGTCACATATCTGGAGCAGGGATGGGCAATTATTTGGGCTGGAGGACCACCTAGGGTGTTTGGGTGAACTTTTGTGGGCCAGGTCATAACCCTCCACACACCTGCAACAGCTCACCAGAACTTCCTAAGTGGCCCTCCAGCCCAAATAATTGCCCATCCCCCAGGCAGAGAGAACAAGGGTTAGAGGAATTGAACCTTTGTTCCCTACTTCTCCCTGCACCCCCTTCCCCACCCTGAGTCCCTGGTACGTGGCCGAGCCAGACCAGTACTGCACTGTGTTCCCTTCCATTACCTTGGGTCATGTGGGTGCAGCTAGCATGGCTCCTGCCTGACCCAGCCACATGTTGGGGAGTCAGGGTGGGGGATGGGATGCAAGGAGAAGGGGCCAAACAGAGCATGGCACTGCCTAGCCAGGCCTAGATGAACCATGGCTCCTGGCCCCTTTCTCTCTGCACCCCCTTCCCCATCCTGAGTCCCTGACCTGTGGCTGGGTCAGGCAGGAGCCATGCTAGCTGCACCCATGTGGCTTGAGACAGTATGAGGGAACACAGCACAGGACCGGCCCAGCCACATGCCAGGGACTTGGGGCTGGGGAGAGGGTGCAGGGAGAGAGGGTTTGAGATCTGTAGATTATCTGGACCTTGCCAAGCAGGTGCTGCATTGTGTTTTTCCCCCTTCTCTCTGAACACCCTCCCTTACCCTGAGTACCCAGCATGTGGCCACACTGGTGCTGTGCTGTGCTCCTGTGCGCTGCTTTGGGCCACACCACATGGATGCAGCTGGCATGGCTCCTGCCCAACCGGGCTGCGTGCTAGGGAGTGAGGACACCTGGTCAGCCAGGAGCTGCACTAGCTGCTCCAGCTCTGCTCGCATGGTGCAGCCAGAAGTGGCTCGTAGAAACACAGCGTGGTACCGGTACCGGTGCCAATGCCCCTATCAGGCCCTGGCCCAGCAGGGCTCAGATAACTCATGGCTTCTGGCTGTCTTCCTCTTGCACCCCTTTCCCCTGCCAGTGGGGAAAACCTTGCTTGAGCTCCAACTTACTGGGCACAGGATCAGAGCAGTGCTCAGACAGCCTTGCCAGGCAGAAGCCTGGCCAGGAGCTCAGTGCCCTCTGCCTTGGAGTTTACGCTGGGGGCTGAGAGCAGGATGGGGTGGGCCAGCCAGGGAGAGGAGGAGAGTGGTGGCTGCTGCTGCTGCAGCTGGCTGGCATGGGGAAGGGAGAAGGGCAAGAAGCCCTGAAAGCCAGGGCAGCCACGGCCCAGATACAGTTGTTTTCAGAGAAGCAGCTGCAGGTCAGGCAAAATCATTTGCCAGGCCAAATTTTGCCCACTGCTGATCTGGAGTGATGCAGCGACCAGTCAGGAGCTCTAGTTGCAAAGACTGAATTTCAGGTTAGCTAGGTCATTTAAAACAAACAAACTTACAGCATTCAGAGTCCTGCCTCCAATACAGAAGATTCTGTCTTTGACTGTGGCCATTCCATGTTCGCATCGGGCAAAGGTCATAGCCCGGTTACTCACCCAGCGTCGCAGGCGAGGGAGGTAGCTGTGTGTATCTCGCAAGGCTTTACCACCAGAAAATCCCCCTGGAGGAGAAGCACAGAAAGAGATACTCTTTGAGCAAGTTCCTCACCAAACACTCTGCAAAAATGCATCAGGGGAGCCTAGGTACCATTATTGCCTATCTCACTGTGTAATTAAAGCGTTTTGTGACACTTGAAGCCTTTAGAAGACCCTGACTTTTTCTGTTTCTCACGGGTGTGAAGAGGGAAATTTTCTCAATGGAGGGGATGGAAAATGGGTACAAAAGGTTCTTGCTTGATGAGCATCCAGAAATGTGAAGGCTTTGGGCACTGAACTTGTTGGGTGTCCTGCTAGGTGTGTCCTAGAAGTAGACTCTTCCCTCAAGATTTTCTAATGGCGTTTGGGGTATCTCCAAACCCAGCCAGAACCAGGAATAGCCCTTCTTAAGTGTCTGCTTCCAACTGGAACCGGAATGTACAGTATGACACAGAAAATCTATTCACCTTCTTCGAATTTCTGAAGTTTTGTCCAGTTCTCAAATCTGAGCCACTTTGTTGCTTCCTCTTATCTAATCTTTCTCTAGGGCACATGGGTATTTTGGTGCTATATTAAACAAGGCTTCCTCTCACGGAAGGAAGAAGCTAATAGTTGACTTGACACACCCCTTTGTACTTGCTGACGTTTAGAGCAGACAAGTGTATCTTTAGTATAGACAAGGAACAAGGAAAACGCATATCAAATCTGGCTGACGCAAGAGCTAACTCAGCATCTTTCTGGGCTTGTTTTGTGCACATAACCTCTGTCTGCGTAGTTCAGAGATTTCATAGACATTGGGGCTGGAAGGGATCTCACAAGATCATTGGGTCCAGCCCCCTGCTCAAAGGGCAGGCAGTCAGTTGGGGTCAGATCACTCCAGCAAGCACGCTAAGCATCCAGGTGTTTCTTAAATGTACCCAGAGTAGGTGCTTGCACCATTTCTGGGGGGACTCAGGCTGTAAAGAAGTTTGTCCTTATGCCCAGTCTAAAACAGTCTTCCAGCAGTTTGTGACCATTAGACCTTGTCTTTCCTTGGGGTGCCCTGGCGAACAGATGTTCTCCCAGTTCCTGATGCACCCCCCTTATATACTTATAGGCTGCCACCAAGCCCCCCCTGCGCCTTCTCTAAGCTGAAGAGTCCCATGCCTCTCCTCATAAGGCCTGCTCTCATGCATGTGGCTTTCCTCTGGATTCTCTCAAGCTTCTCCACATCCTTTCTAAAGGGCAGAGCCCAGAATTGGATGCAGTTCTCCAGCTGCGGTCTCACCAAGGCTGAAGTGAGAAGATGACTTCTTGGGTTTTGCCTGGGATGCATCGGTAGATGCAAGCCAGAGTTTTATTTGCTTTGCTGGCTGCGGCATCACATTGGTGGCTCATGTTCATCTTGTGATCAGTCGTGACCCCCAAGTCTCTTTAGGTCATGGTGCTAGTGAAATTACAGTAAGTCTTGTTTAAAGTTCTTACACTAGCATTGCATACTTAATTTTTCAGTCTAATAGAACAGGGATGTAGACAAGTCCATGGTCTGAACTATCTTAGACTATTTTAAGGTCTTGTATTATTGTAATATCTAAACAGTTCATGATGTTTTTAATGCAGTTCTCTTCAGAGCATCCCATGGCATAGGGAAGTGTGTCCATTCCCATTATACAGATGGGGAACTGAAACACAAAGACACTTAACATGACCAAGGTCACGCAGGAAGTCTATGGCAGAGCCGAGTTGAACTGAGACTCCCAAGTTTAGGGCTAGTCCCCTGTCTGCTAGACTCTGTTTCCTCCCTCTTGCATATACATTGAGTTGATACAAGAGCATTACACTGGATTCAGAGTTTTTAAAAAAGACTATTTCAGTAGACTTGTGACTTCAGACTTGCTTTTATGCCTTACTGAGACTCTAAAGTAGGATCTGTCTTGGAAATTCCCCTCTTAAGGTTACAGAAATGTAAGTGCCTATTAAGTGCACCATTAAGATGGCACAGTTACAATTAAAGTAAGGAAGCCAGGCTTGATTATCACAGTGGTCTCTTAGGGCCTTAAAATCTATGAAAAGCTAAAGCAAAAGGGTTCTTATAGCAATGTCAAGTCAGCCCCATGTCTTACTATATCACTGCTATAACACAGTGGGCTTTTCACAGGAGAAGACAGGAGTAGGTTCAACTGCACATACACCATGCCCAGATTAACAACTGTGGTTTTATTTTGTATTTCCTAACATGTTAGCAACGTTAATTAAATGTTTTAATTATTAAATGTACCCAAATGATCCCTGTAAATATTGGAGGCCCCATGTGTTGGGTGCTGTACAGACACATTGGAGGAAATGGTCCTCTGCTCTGACAGCAAGTGCAGTGGGAATTCACCTGGATCCCAGTTTTAAGTCTTCTCTGCAAGATGACACCCCAAGTAAAGAGCAGCATTACTGAAGTACCTTAGTGCAGAGGGAGCTGATTCACTAGGATGCTCCATACAGGTTCCCCTTACTGAGCTATCCAAGCACTGGCCTAGGTCCAGCCTTGCTTAACTCAGTTTTGTTGATTGCCTTACTTTGTGACGCAGCTGCCTCTCACCTGAGATGTAGAGGATTCCTTTGTGTGTGGTGCCTGCGTGGTCAGCCAGTGGCATTGGGCAGGGAGCCATAAACTGCCACTTGTTCTCAGCAGGCTGGTAGGATTCCATCGTGTTGGTGAGGCTCCCCAGTAGTGTCCCGCCACCCACGGCCAGGATGTGATCAGACATCGCATCTACGTGGAAGCGCGTCCGCCTCTCTAACATGCCAGCCACCTGCAGCCACGAAGCATTACGGGGATCAAACCGGAACACCTAGAATCAGTGTTTAGAGAGGAAAGCAGTTAGCTGGCCTTGCTTGTGCACGAGCATCCAATGGGCACTGTGGCTTTAAAGACTATTACTCTAGGCAACAAGGGTGGTAATGCCAAACCGGAATGGTTCTGTTTTAAAGGTGCTTACTATGCTCAGAAGAGAACCCAATCTGCCCTGCCTTACCTGTATGTAGACTGCACTAGATGTCATACATATTTTCTGAATCCAGGGTGACTTCAAATATCCCTCCGTCCACTGAGTTAAACTTGGTGAATTCTTTGCTTACTCTTTGCCCTCGTTATGTAAACACAGCAGATGCTAAGAGCCTGTTACAAGCTGCTGCTCCAGGATGCTTTAGATCAGTGCTTCTCAAACTATCTGATGTGGCGGACCAGCAGTTTTTTTTCCAGCCAGGGACTGGTGCCTGGTTCAGCTGGTGGCAGCAACTGCGTGTAACAGCGCTACACAAATGTGCGACTGGCTGTTTTTCTCTTTCCTCACCTCGCACAATGTGACATCACCTGGAGTGTTGGAACGTACGAGCTGTGGCGCTATGACATATCAAAGTTATGCTTCTGAAAGTGTATTTCTTTCTTTCCTGGCAACTCGTTGTGGGCCGGCGACCGGTGGCTTGCAGACCAGCACCGGCCCATGGACCACCACTGAGAAGCACTGCTTTAGATTGCTAGGGATGTGACTGGGCCACTTGGTGAATTCTCCCGTATAATTCCACCCACACCATGTAAAGCCACCGCATTGAAAGCTCTCAGAACAAGTCATCTGCATGGAAATCTTTGCTTTCTTCGTCACTGAGAGTGTTTGGCTCACTCTGCATTGTGACGGCAGCCAGACTACAGGTGTTAATTCATACCTAGTTGTTAACAGTTTTCAGAAGCCGCAGTACTGCTGTCACCTGAGCACCCCTTGCATCAAACACTGAAACGGCTTCTGGGCCTTCCCCATCCTGGGATTTTCTAGCTCCACGATGGAGCTAATTGTTTGGGGTCCCACTAGTGGAAGTGACTATGATGGAAGGACTGGTGCGCTCTCAGCTCAGCACAGGGACCTGCCCTCCAGGTTAATCCTGTCTAGGGCATAGAATTTACTAGAGACCTCCTAGAGCAGCCATTTGCAACCCCACCAGAGCTCGCACTTTTGACAAAAAAACAAAGGGAGGTCTTCATGCCTAGGCAGGGTAAAGGGCTGTTCATCTTTCATGGGCAGGAGAAATGCTGGTGCTGTTCTTAGCTAGACACAGACAGTAGTGTTTTGGATTGATAGAACCATTCTGCCTGCAGAGGATGCATTCTGCTTCAATCCCAAATCTGGCCCCACTTGTATGGGATCAAGTGAGGCAGCAGCTAAAGGCTGAAGCAGTTAGGGACTGATTACTCCACCACCTCACTGTTTGAGGCAGGCACACATTGGAGCTGGGCTATGATGGGATCCAAAGTGGAACAAAGATGGTTGAAGTAGACTTGAACAAGCCATTTCCCAAGGGAGTGGGGGAGCATCTCTAGAGGGTTTGCAGAACTGAACAGAACATTAGGAAGCATGCTGTAAGGAGGAGTCCTATGCTGAGCTCTGGCCAGACTCAAGGGAGTGATTCCAACCCTGTCTCCAACACAGCTTTTCATCTTGCACCTCTTTGAGAGAGCAAATGTTGACTCATTCCCCTGCCAGCATCCTCACAGTAGCTCTGAACTGGGAGAGGGCCCATTCTCATCCCAGGCAGCTGCTTTAAATAAAAACATCTAGCAGCCACTTGTCTCCGAGCTAAAGGCTAGTGCTTTCCAACCCCGGGCACCTACGTAACTTTAGACACCAAGGTCATAAAGTTGGCCTTATCTGAGCCTCTGTGTCCACAGCACTGTAGTGCCAGCTCACTTCCCTGGGTTCTGGAGTCTCTCCAGCCTAAGGCTGTTTTATTTCAGGCCTTACCTCATTTGAAGGATGTTTCCCCGTCGGATCGAATCTGTACTGGCCCCCGATGACAAAGAGGAAATTACCGAGTACAGCTACACAGTGGTTGTATACGGGTGTGCAGAGTTCCCCGATCTTTTGCCATGTGCTGAAGCTTGCGTCTGTAGCCCACATGTCACTGCGCACGCTGTTTTCGAGGGTTCTGCCCCCAACCACAAGCAGGCTGCTGGCACTGGAGCGGATGTTCGTGTGCTGGGTCTGCAGGACTGGCTGGGCATAGAGTTGGGAGTGGTAGCACACGGCCTGCTGGAGGTACTTGTGGCAGTTGGAATTCGTCCTCATAATGGGCATCCCTTGTACGTATCTTTGTAGATCCCGCAGAGGAATGAGAGGCAGTCGGATTCTCCTTAAAATATCTGCTGCTTCTTTCATCCTTGCATTGTTGTGCTGCAACCAGCATATGGCGGCATTGAATAGCTCCAGCTCAGTGCACCCCTCCACGTCTGTCTTGTCTAAGATTTCACATAGCGTTGCTCTGTCCAGCTCTTTCACATGTCGAGGATCAGCCAGTATCTGCTTGTAGTGCTGCCCTATGTAGCGTGTGGCTTTCTGCCTCAACTCTTCTGGTCCAAGCCTCTTAGCAATACTGAGAACATCCAAGCAGTTCTTGTGATTCAAGCAGTCTTCCAGAAACCGGAAACACAGTTTGATCACTTCCCGGATAAGCAGGGCTTCTGCTGCCTTGAACGTCTCTTCAATGTTCTGTAGCGAGAGATCCAGCGTGTTGGAGTAAATGAAATTGAGAACATTCCTGAGCCCCCTGGCACTGATGGCTTTCAGCTGGATGTTCGCATCTGTGTTCCCAGCTCTTGCTGCATTTCCAACAAACAAAATCTTGCAGTAATTGCTGGCTGAAGCCAAAATGATCTTGTGCGCTGGAAAACGAACTCCATCTGCCTCCAGCGTGACGTCGCAGAGCGCATTCTGGGACCGGAGGCTGCTGACTCCCTCCAGGAGTTTGGCTAGGTAAGTGTCTGAAGTGAGACAGGACCCACAGCTCTGGGTGCTGAGAAGCATTGCCTTGAAAACCGGACAGGTGGAGAAATCTTAGCTGGTGTCTGTGAGGAGTCAGTCTCCCACATGGGGACTTTCAGGAGAGCCTTTAGTTTCCCCCTGTGGGGGACCTATATCACAGCTGACTCACGTTTCCAGAATCTTGTCCAAAATTTAACGGTACTTCGCTAACCTGTTACTTGCAACAAGTCCTGAGTGTTGTTTCTGCAGGAGCGCTGAGTGCTGTGCCTCGCAGGGTTGAACAGTCTTGTTGGCAACGATACTGTCTAGGGGTAGTTGTCATGAATGTTTATCTGCAGTGTTTTTCTTTCCAACTAGTCTGGGAGCAGGCTCGCTGACGGCCACTCAAACAATAGCGTGTTTCTTCCCTTCCATATTTGGCAGCTATTCATCCACACAAAAGCAACTGTTTTCTCTAGCTCCCTTACCACGGTTGAGTGGCTCATGTTGGCCTAGGTATTTGTGTTAATCTGGGCGAGTCCAGGCTTGTTACCCTTCCTTTTCTAAACAGTGATCAAAGAGAATTCTTTCTTGGATGGGCTGGCATCGACTGTCATACCGAAAGTGGCCATATTCAGGCTAAAGAGCATTCAGGCTGGGGAGTGGGCATTGGCTTAACCAAGTATTGAGAATTTGGGTTGGCTTCCCTGTTGTGGTGTCTTGTATGTGAAATGAGGCCCAAGTGCATGGGAGAGTTAAAGACCAAGACTCACCTATGGGCCTGAGAAGTTTTCAGATGATGTGTGTAATGAGATGGGAAAGCCACAGAAGGAAAAAGACCTAGGGAAGCTCTCTCAAAGAATGGGCATTACAAAGCAAGCTCTCATGCAGTAGAGACACTGTGCAGGGGTTTTGCTGATCTAACAACTAGGTAGGTGCAGGAGCTGTGGTTGCCACCACTGGCAAATCCTCTTGGATCCATTATGTAATCCCTATCCCCTGACCCACTGTCTGCTGCATCATCCTGCTCCAGCTTACCTTTGGCAGTAAACTGTCTCAGGTTAGCACATGGGGCTCTGTTTTTAATGCTGAGACGGAGGTACTGACACTGGCTTAACACTAACCTTCTGCTTGGCAGGTGTGTTCTACAACTCAAGTGGAAAAGCATCATGTTACGACATCTACAGCCAGTACAGAAAGTGTGCCGACCCAACAGGCTGTGGCACTGGCTCAGATGCTGAGGCATGGGACTATCAGGTACACGGTTGAGGGGCCAGTGGAGTTTTAAGACCAGGTCCCTGCATTTCTATAATGGCAATTCCCACGTCTGTCACAGGCCTGCACCGAGATCAACTTAACTTTCAGCAGCAATAATGTGACTGACATGTTCCCTGAGATCCCCTTTACTGACGCCATGAGACAGAAGTACTGCTACAACAAATGGCTTGTGCAACCACGAAAGCATTGGCTGCAGATCAGCTTTTGGGGCAGTGGTACGTGCTATATCAGGGGTGGGAATTTGGATAGGATTATGGGGTGGGGCCTACTTGGTGCTAATGAGCATATATGCAGCATTGCTGGGAGAAAATGAGAGCAGCTGCAGTTGTTCAAGGGTAGAAGGCAAAAACAAGTCCCCAATCCCTTTTGTCCTAGTTTCTCACTGCAAGGCTCACCCACTGCTCCCTATGAACCCAGCCTTCCTTACGCCAGCCACCCCCTCCCCCCAGCTGTGACACTTGCTGGCTTTCTCCAGTCCTCAATCAGATGGCTCTCCCTTCTCCTCCCTGCCGATTCCTGCACTAACAGTATGTGGAAACATCATACTAGAAAAGAAGCCAGCTCTGTCGGTCTCCTTTGTGGAAAAAGACAGCCATTCTCTTCTAGCAGAGCTTTGTGCCTCATTCCCCGCTCTGTGCCTCATCACATGCAAGTGAGGTAAGGAGCAAGGTGCCTTGGCAGCCTGGCTTTGTGCACATAGCCCAGATTTCGCAGTAGTTAAAAACAAGTGGAAAAATCAATGTACCTGCCAAAAACATGTTTTATTCTTATCAGTTTTCCCGTTGTTCACGCTTTCTGAAGCGGTTTGACAGGGTTTGGGAAACAGGCAGGAAAGGAGCCTCTCCAATATCATCTCTTTGAATTTCAGACCTGAAAGCAGCAAGCAACATCATATTTTCAAACGGAGACTTGGATCCGTGGGCTGGAGGTGGTGTAAGTATTTGCACTTCTGTCTTGCATAAAATGTGGGGGAACAGGGCATGAGTGTCAGACACAGGGCGCATTAGCCAGTCCTGGTTCCCCCTTTCAGTGTAGCACTGACAACCCGTTGGTAGCCAGCTGGCATTTCTAGAAAGCAGCTGCCATGCAGTCAGGAGCTGCGTGTGTGTGGAAGACTCAAGATTTTTTTTTTTTGCTATGCTAAATCATTTGACAGCCCCTGGACTTGTATGACAGAACAGTAAATTTAGTCTTTCAGGCTGCCAGAAAAGGGATTGGATTATATTAACTCCACTGCAGGGATAGTATATTCAGAGGTAGCTGTGCTGTGTAGTGGTTTAACCTTAGGTTAGTTTGTAATTTGGTGAAATGTGACTAGACCAGCCCATGGCTATCACACAGGCTGTCTGGCCTCCATGACTTCAGTGCATCTGTCACTTTGCTACAAAGCCTATCCCTTCTCTGTTCTGTGATGGTTTTTGATGGAGGCTTGCAGCAGTAGTTATCACACCTGCAAGTTAAATGCAGACCCCCACTTTCAACGGTTGAAGATAACTTCTGTGTAAACCGAAGTCAGACCCCTCAGCAGACAGATGTAACTGGTCATTCCTAGTAGACTGATGGGACCTATTACTACCAATTGTTTATTGGAGAAACAAGTCTTACCTAGTAATTGGTGCCTTCACCTGCAATGGGGGAAGTGGTAATTTTTATTTGGGGCAATATACTTGAGCTACCAGTAGCAGGAGAGAAGGCAGAATCTAGGACTCCTGCTCCTGATACACCAGCAGCTGTTCCCAGTGGCCTTATCTTCCTTTTGTTGCTTAGCTTTATTTCTAATTTTCAAATTCCTTATTAAATTTTACTTATGTAGAAGGGGGAACTTGACTTGCAGATCTTATTCCAGATACGCAGTAACCTGAGTTCATCACTTATTGCAATAACCATTGAGGGAGGTGCTCATCATCTGGATCTCCGGTATGTATTTTGTGCCAGCAAATCCTTGGTTACCTTCTCCCCTTTGACCTGTGCATTAGTAGGAGCATTGCCAGCAGATTGAGGAAAGTGATTATCAATGTATTCTCACGACTAACGAGTGTATATCACTTCGCCTTCTCCACAGAGGATATAATCCAGTTGATCCTCCATCTGTCATAGAGGCACGCAAGCTAGAAGCAAGGATTATCCATGACTGGGTGAAATCTGCAAGGATCGAGAAAGCTTGGGAGAAATTTTCTGGAGCTTCTTCTAGTTTGTTGCCATGAAAATAGCCATGCAGTCTTCAGCAGAAATACTGTGCTGTTATTGTTTGTACCAGAAAGTATAAAGGGCAGTAGCCGCCTTTTGCACTAACTTTGAACCCAATCATTTGAGGAAAAATGGTCAGTTTAGGTGGTTCTGCCAAGGCAGTGGAAATTGATCTTATAGCTTCCTACCATGAGTCAATCAAGAAAGCCATTAGGCCAAATCCTGTGGCAGGACACAAACAGCACTCTGTACGGGTGACATATTGCATCAAAGTAATTCTAAATGAGAAGGACAGAATAAAATGTTAATGTAAAACCAGCATACCATTCGACAAGAACTGGGCCGTACTTCAACAACATGCTTTTCAGAAGGTTGGAGGAAAGGATGTGGCCCTGTGATAAACACCAAGTATTATCATTGTAATGCTCATCCCATAGAAATCATCACTGTGACAATTATAAGATAGTTGTAGCCACTGCCTTCTTTCAGCTCAAAACAGAGCATGCATCTTCAAAGTAAGTAGGTGGTACCTGATGACTGGGAGAAGTCGAGTGGTGATTGCTAATTGGAATGATCAGTTATGGGAAATCAGCTGGAGAGAGACTAGTTTGTCCAAAATAATTAATTGTTAGTGACTGTTCCGAGACTGAAAAACCCTTAGTAATCGTCAGCTGCATAGCAGAGATCAGATTTTGGTGAGCAAGTGGCCTACATAAAATAATGCCAAGGGGAACTGCTAATATACCCGGACTGCAATATTATGGAGTAATAAATCACACTTGCAATTAAGACAGCTCCACTCTTTTTTTTTAAATAAATTATAAGTTTATTAAACTGTGTGATAGAATTCCATGGTTTGGCTTTAAGTATAACCAAAGGGGATACAAAAAGGATCTCTCTCACCCTTCTAAAAAGGTGAAGCAAATTCATCTTTGTACATTAACAAATGGACTCTTACCTACTGGAATCACTGTGTACCAATAAATACTAGCAAGACTGCAAAAAATCTTACTACTTAGTAATCAATTATATGCCTTAAAATAAATTGTATCCATGGATAATGATTACACAGGACAGGAAAAGCCTTGTAGGGCATTCCAGGCTCATGTTACTAGGTAGGCAAAGTACAGCCCTGGTTCAGTTTCTAATACGTTGTTCAAAATAAGATTTGGTGTTAATATGTGCATTGGTAAGTCCTACCAACACTCCCTATTTGGTTCACATGGATCCTAGGCAAAACCTTGATGGTGTTTCACACGATCTGAAGTAGACTCCATGCAAAGAGAAGTTTCTCCACATACAAATCCAACTAACTCCTCCTTACTCCCAAGCAAAGCTAAAGCTTCCCCATTTCAAATAAGCTTTTCCCATTGCTCCCAGACTTTATAGTACCTTTGAAAAGGAAGAGTAGATGGAATTACTTCAGGACATCTGAAGCATTACAGAAGTGGCATGCATGGAAGACCTGGCTGGCTAAACAGCAGTTCCAAACAACTAAGTGTTATATAGAAACCATCTGAAAATGTCTTTGCTGCACGAGAGCTTCTGAACACCAGTCCTCAGCCCTTTCAAATACAGTATGCCATAGCTCAGTATAACAGGAAAACCTTGGGCTCTCCTATGAAGTAGCCTGATTGCACTGAAGTTTGGGTTTTATCCCAGCTGCACCTGCTACATGTATTGCCTTGCCATTCCCAGCCCTAGTTATGAGCTCAAACCTAATATTCATGCTCTGAAACCTAGAATCCCACTACACTCAGAGTTTGGACATAACGACTGGTAGGGTTTGGTGCCTCATAAATCTAGGGAAGAGATGCCAGATGCCTCAGCCTAGAAAGAAAAGGAAAGGGATAAAAAAAAGCCCCCCTAATTTGGGGAACTCGTGCTTCTAATTTCCAGGCTAAATAAAAAGTACATGCCTCATGGCAACTCATCCTCCTTTCTCTTTCTTACTTTCTAGTATTTTGAGCCCTTGAAATGCCACAAAACTAGGCCAACTATTTCACCATGGCAGTTAGCTGCTTTGTTGCACTTGCCCCCAAAATAAGTGCCTCTTAAAAAGCATCCTCGAAGTTCAAACCCTTGGGCAGATGATGGCCTTAGGCTTGCTCTCTGCCCTCAAAAATAAAAACAGACATTAGTAACATTTTCTAGCTTCTACTTCAGGCAGTGGGGAGGGGAGAAGGAGGGTTTTCTTACTCTCTTGCAGCAGTGTGAAAGATAGTAAAAGTATTGCACCACCAGTGTGTGCTATTTAATGATAAGAGTATTAAACTTAGAGGAAGATGATTCTGCCAATTAGCTATCTTCCTGAAGAGTGGCGAAAAAGAGAGGAAGATCAGGGAAGCAGAAGCACAAAACAATACAGGTAAAATGGTGGATCTATATGAAAGGCCAAATACAGAAGGCTTGTAGATACTATGAGCAAGGGGGAAAAGATGTGCAGATACATACAGGCTTTGAACTACAGTTCAGTTTTCACATGGATGGAAGTATCCTTCAACTGGTAACAAAACAAATATACACCACAATGAGAAATGTGAAGTCTGATCAACCAAGGCTTTAAAACCCTGTGCAAGAGAGCAAAGTAGAAGATCCCAGTAAGCAGATGCATCCTGGGAGGAAAAAGGAGCTGGGTAATCACAGGAACTGCATCCCTTGGACACAGCTCTGCAGTGATGTGGTTTGGAGAAGTATGGAAAGAACCAAGAATACTGGCATGGGTGAAGACATGAATTGAGCAGCTGGAGAGGGATGGCAAGAGCACTCCTCCCTTTAATTCAGCCCCAATGCACTGGATTAAGACCTAGAGCAGTGGCTTTAAGAGCAGACTTATTTCATTTTATCACAATACAATACAATGTTTACAGAATAGGATTTAAAAACCTACGTGCAACCGTAAGTCATCGATTCCAACACAATTTTGACTTTTGTAAATGAAAAATTTAAGTTTTTCAGGGCAAGAGGGGCAAAAAGAAAGCTGAGGGAAGCCTCAGGAGAGCAGAAAGTTGCCCTATCCTCACAGCCTTTTAGGAGGCAGTGTTCACAGTCCCTCTCAGTTGCTGGAGAGGGCAAGGGGAATTTGAAATCAAACTTGGCTCCAACTATCAGAGGTCCACATAAAATATGGGGGAGCCCCATTAAGAAGACTCCACAGACAGCACCCTGGTAGAAAGCCCCGTGCCAAGGGTGACAGTGGGGCTGGTCTTCTCAAAAGATAACTGAATTTTCACTCTTGCCCCCTCCCTAATCATCTTCCACATCTCCCTTGCACTAATAGGTGTATTTTTCCATTCACCTGGTTTAAACTCAGAGGTAAGTGTGGCTCACTACTAACCTTCCCCTGAGATGAGCAGTACTTATGGCAGTAAACAGACCAAAAAGCAATTTCCATTGCTCAGGAAACGCAGACACTGATTGAACAGCAGTGCTGTTTGCATTTACTTTTTTCCAATATGCAAAACACACAAGCTCTTGGAAAATAAGAAAGTCAGCTCTGAGTAAGGAGGCTGAACAGCACTGGATTAAGCAGTAGCCTTTCTACACCATCCCCTTACCTAGTTATCCAAAGGCATCTCAATAAATGGAGATGCCGAGGAGCTGGATCATGTCCAATATGCACTTAAGGCTTTGGGGTGGGAGGACCATGGTTTAAGTAACCTGAAGAGAAACTTCTCAATGGCGAGTCATCACTGGTCCTTGTGTCTGGAGAGACACCAAGAAATGTGGTATAATGAAAAGGAACACAGAGCAGTCAAGACAGAAAACCTTTGAGGAAGTAGAGGAGCACTTCATGGCACCAGCAGTTAAAGCTTCCCCCTCAGCAGTCGGAAAGAGAAGAACCAGATGGCCCCAAGGGTTTCCGGGTGCAATGCATGTTAGTTTGAAACAAGCAATTTATTTCTCTCTTCTCCAATACTGCACACAAAGGTGATCAATGCAAAACACAGTGTTAACAAAGGGTGAGAGCTGACAATGAAGAGACCCTCAGCAACAATAAATTAGTTTCCAAGACAGCAGAAAGCCAGGGAGGGAATAAATCAGGATTCTAGGGCGATATGTGAAGTTAAGATGTGCTCTTCCCTCCTCTTTGTTTATACACAGAGAAACTCCTCCCAGACCTTTGTGTGTGGAAGCTGAGCACAAGATGTGGCAGGAATAACAGCAGAACAGACATGGAAACCCACAGTGCTGTTTTCACAGTCAGCTGCCCTTTAAGACCTTAACACAGAGCTTAAGCGAAACACAGGACATTGCAGAAGCTCCCAGCTGTATGGAGTATTTTACCCTTTAACTTTTGAGCCTCCCCACCTTGACCTTAACCTAAGAGGTTAGGGCCTCAATATCAGCTCCAGGACAAGGTAACAAATCAAGAAAGAAAAACAAAGGACCAGTATTCCTCATCTGTCACCCTTCAACTTTCAGTCAAAACGTGAGTCTGAGGTAACAAGCATTAGTTCACAACTGAGTTAATGCTCAGGAAATTGGAGCTGCCACTGAACACGTTTCATTTGAAAAAATAAGCCTAATTTTAAAAGTCCCTTTGGATAAGGATGCACAATTTCATATAAATATCAGTGTCACTTCCCACGTTCCAGTAGCATTTGCTTTCTTTCCCCATTGTGTCAAACAACAAAAGACTAGCAACAACACAACTATTCAGCCTTTGTCTATGGCTTCTAAATTCCAATGTGCACTTAAGTGGAAAAAAAAAAGCCTTCAGCAAACCCAATATTACTAAAACCCTTTGAATTGGTGGATCACATCATTCTGCATTAGCCTGTCTAATCAGCAAATCCCCCCATTCCCAAGATCAAAGGACATTTTAGGAAGTGGTACATATACATAACTTTGAGAATTGTTTCCATGAGCCATCAGTGGGACAAGAAATGGTAAATACTGCCTAAAGGAGTAAAAACAATGGTCCAAAGGGTAACAGTCACACTCCAGCAAACAGAGACCAGATAAGTGTAATGCAACTTAGAAAAACATAACTTACTCTACCAAAAAGAAGGTTACAGTTAATGTTAAGTCTGTAAGTGTAACTGAAAGTGAACTGCTGAGTCATGTTCACGCTGCCACTATTTCTCAGCCCGCAAAGAACAGAGGCTGTTGTGCTTAACCTCCAAAACAAACGTGAAACTTTCTATAGTTACCTGTTGGTGAGAAAGGAATGGATATTATGATAAGACAGTATACCCTAAAAGAAGTGAATGTATGCTTGCTCTGATAACGTATTTGTGTACATGGACTGCCCAAAGTTAGCTACAGAACCAAAAGGAAAAACTGTTCTAGAAAGTCACTTCCAAAATTCACGTTTTAAAATCTGATTTTCACAAAAAATAAATGCAAGACTCCTGGGATCACTTGAGATCTTTTTATACACAAACACGGAGTGTATTTTCCCCCTCGGAGCACCCAGGCAGGTCTTGGTAAGTCTACAGAGAGCATTAAGTGTCACTTAGACCATCCACATTTAAATCTACTAGTGAAAATATTTTCACCAGGATATTTTTAAGGAAAAAATTACTGCAAATGTATCCCTATTAATCCATTGTAAGACAAATAGTAAGAATTATTCTGTACAACAATACACCTGATTGATCTAACATTTTACAATACGAGATATGGGAAGGGAGGTTGAGTTTGAATACAAACGTGCTCACAAGCTTTTCCCATAGCTCAACCTCTCAAAGCAGCTTTCAGTCAGAATACCTGAGTCTAACTGATGCAAATATATATAATGCATGTATGTATAGTATCATTTGTTTTTCACATTGCCTCCTGCATTTCTGCAGATCCAGTTAAAAAAACCAAACAAAAACAACCGATATACTGTACATCTACAAAATTATATATCACTGAGCCAAACCAGCAGCAAGTTCTGTTCGTAACTCTCCACCACTCATTTTAACCACAGCTCTAGCATATTGTTCAAAGTGCTCTATAAGATTAAGATATTGTACTGTAGATGCATTTGTAACAAACTTGCTTTTGTCACATAACTTCCT